AGTAGTCAATGATCTTCCTCCCCAATCTCTCAACCTCTCTAAGAAGGAGGTTGTTCTGTATTTATTTCCTATTTACTTATCTGGGGACACATTTTTTCCTCAAGTGGAATGGAAGCTCCTTAAGGGGAGTTTCATTTTTGGTTTTGTATCCTCACAGCCTAGTACAGAACTTTGTACATCGAGCTTCTTAATAAATGCTTCTTGAGGCAAATTCATTTTTTTCTAAGAGACAAGAAAGCCAGGAAAAAGACTAGTTTGTTCCTTTAGCTAAAATACCCAGAGAAAAACACTAACATTTTTACTGTTTGCCAGTCCTACTCCTCAGCTTCTGGTAATTGGCCTTAAATCCCCACTCTAAGGAAACTATCCACTTCAAGGTAACGAATGACCTGATATGCAAGTCTATCTATAGGCCTATCACATCTCTATTCAGCTTTATCTAAACAGTCTTTATCTACTTCCAGGTCTCAGGGGTATTTGACAACGTTGATTGGCTCCTCCTTCCACATTCTCTGTTTTTCCTTAGAAGACACCAATCTCTTTTGGTTCTCTTCCTACTTGCCAGAGTATTCTTTATGGGAAGCTTTCTTTGGGTTTTTTTTCCTCATCCTGCCTCCTAAATGTGACCGTCACTCCCTCCTGCAAAACTCTATCATTGGCTCCCTTCTCTCTTTCTCTTCCTAGAATATTGCACTCACTCCTATGGTTTCAACTATCACCTCTATGCAGATGTTCCCCCAATCTTTCTTTTTCTAGCACTGACTCTCTTCTGAACTCCCCACCCACAAATCCAACTGCCGTCTGGCTAGTCTACCAGCACTGAAACCTCAACTTGTCTAAAATAAAACTCATCTCACTTCCCCCTCCCCCTTCAGATTTTATATGTAAAATTTCTCCTTCAGACTTTATATTTAAAATGTTTTATTGCCAAATTTTGTTTTGTCAACATAGATCCCACTATACTGACCAATAAGGGGAGAGAGAAACCCCAGGATGCTATTCCCCTACAAGGCTATGGATAGAAAGCCTGCCCATCTTTATCTTCAAAAAGTAAGTACTTCCTAGCTTAACTTTTCTTGGTAACTTATATTCTACCACACTAGTAACTCTACTCTTAATCTAAGTTTCTTAATCTCTATGGGTGGGCCTCAGTTTCTTCCTATGTAACATGAGGTAGTTAAACTGTCCTCTAATGTCTCTTCTAGATCCAAGTCTTTAAACATAAATCATTATTACACAAGATTATTTGGAGTGATATTTAAGGTTCTAATAAAAAATAAATTCCCCAACCTGGGGAAAATTTCCTTGGGTAAATTTCCAGTTGCCAATATTGCTCTAAAAATAGCATTGGATGAGACAGATGAGATAGATGGTGACTTGTGCTACAAGAGGGATAAACCATATGGATGGGATCAGAGCCTCTGGAGTATTTCTCTTCTGAATTTTAATAATGCCCTTATTTATGCAGTTACAGTCAGTGTGTAGATTGTTCTTCTGGCTCATCCTTTCATCCTGGGAGCCCTCCATTTTGTGTTCCTTATTTCTTTCAGAGAGGGGTGGAGCCAAGATGGCAGAGTAAAAGCAGTGACTTGCTTGAGCTATCCCCCAAACTCTTCCAAATACTTATTTCTTTCAGGTCAGTATTCTACGTCACAGAACTTACTCTGCCACCCCCCAATTGTGGGGCACATAGTTTGCTTTCAACTCTTTACTAATACAAATAGTGCTACTGTGAATATTTTCATGTGGGTCTTTTCTTCCTGCCAATAACCTCCTATGAGTAAAATCCTAAAAGTGGGATTGCTAGGGCAAAAGTATGAAGAGTTTTGTAACTTGATTGTACAAATATGTATGTCTTTCCAAAACAGTATTTCACCAACTTTCCAGTTTATTTCACAATATTTCCAAAACAAAATTTCATAGTTCTGCCAGCAGTAAATTCACTCACTTTCACCTATCAGAATGAATGTTATTCTTTATCTTATTTACCAGTTTGGTGATATAAGGTGTTTCTTAATTGCATGTCATCACCACATTTCAGAATTGCATTAATTTGCATTTCCCTGATTACTATCAACTTCCCTTTTTTCTTCCCAAACAGTAGTTGACAGTTTGAGTTTTTCCTTTTGAAAACTGCTAGTATATTTAATTATTAGGGAATGGTTTACAAATCATTTTAATTGTTTCTGTTAATGGCACCACCAATCCCAACACTAGGCTTTAAACTCTGAAGCCATCTTTGATTTTTCCTCCTTTATCTCCCATATCCAATCAAGTTCAATGCCCTGTTGAAGCTACCTGCACAATAACGTCTCAAATACGCCTCCCCTTTTCCCTATTCCCATAGCTACCACTCTAGCTTAGGTCCACACATGTCTCAAACGGCTTATTAAAGTAGCCTCCTAACTAGTCTCCCTGTATTTATAGGCTCTCCTTTAGAATCTATGCTTCATATAGCTTCCCAAACAATCTTCCTAATGTACACATCTAACCATTCCCATGCTCAAAAACTTTTCAATTGCTCCCCACAGTCCACTGAATAAAACTCTCTTTTTATATTCCAGTTGGCCTGGAGGTCCAGATCAAATGTCACTTTCTCTATGAATTATTCCCTTATCTTATCATCTAAAAGCAGTCTCTCCCTCTGAGCTTCCTCAGTCCACTGTCTATTACCACTCATGGTGTTTAACACAACTTGCTTTGCTCTATGTCCCAATTTTCTCCTCCATCTGCAACCCCAGAGGATGATCTTCCCCCAGAGTAAGGAATCTGTCTTACCTCCCTCTCAACTCCCACCCCTTCCAGTACACAAGTGATTAAATATTTGTAGAAGCAATAAAGGGTGAAAAATCCTAAAGGAGAGGCAGAAACTTATTTTCTGATTGGCTTAAGCTCTATTTTTAAGTGTGAATTCAAATAGAGAAATGTGGACGGTTTCCCTGGAAACAGAAGAGAAATCCTGCCAGAAGGATGCAGGCATATGTATTGCATATAGATAATATGGTTACCAACCCCCACTGAGTATAAAGACAGAAGTAGCTTGGAAAGCAAATCTCCTAAAAGAAAGCCAAGTTCCCAAGTTTTTCTGATAGCATGTCTGACAGGAGAAATGTAGCAGATTTTTGGAAACTTGAGTCAAAAAGAATCCAACTTTGGCACCATGAGAGCCTTTAGTTGCAAAACTGTATTATTTGGAGTTGGAGGGGGTGGAGGAAGTGCATGACTGCTGAGACTCCCTGTCATGTGGTAAAGGTTTTTGCCTATCCTCGGGGGCTAAGTCTAGATTAGAGTGGCCAACTTGAGGCCTGCGGGAGTGACAGGGCCCAAAAATCAAAGGGAAGAGCCTTACTATGTGGGGACTTTCTCTGACTGATTCCAGCCAACTGTGACTGCTTCCTTACTCTAGCACCTCAGGGTTGAAAGATTCAGTATCAGATGTGACGGTTCTACAAGCTGCTTAAACTTGTCAGACCAGAGGATAAAGGAGAGGCAGGTAAGAGGTAGGTCAAACTTACTCATATTAGGGGTGGGGGGAAGGGAGAAGTAAAATCCTATCATGAAGGTTCGAAGAAATTGAGAGAACACTTATGCCACCCCCCCCCCCCCCCCGCCCCCCCCCCCCCCCACCGGTCCTTTGCCTCTCACTCAGTGTCCCACCTAGACCCATTGTTGACCAACCAATGAAGGCAATAGGGCCTTCACCAGCTGCCAAGGACTTGCCAAAGACAGGCTGCTCAAGGGTCCTAGTCAACCTTGCCTGGAAAAGGTTCAGTTAGACTTCAAACCAGCTGGTACAAAACCTTCCTCAGCTTCCTCTTCTGAACCATGAATCCTGGACCCTCCTCTTAGGACTACATGGCAAGAACCAGCCTAGGTTAGGTTGCCCTAACCCAAGGCTAACTTGGCTTCAAGCTCACATATCCAGAGGGTGGGAAAAAAATGTTTATACACATACAACCTCAAAACATAGACATTAGAGACTGGAAATTCATACACAAGTACAGGAAGACACACAATCCAGAGCAGGGGGGAAGATAGTTTCCTGACAAGTACACAGACTGACACACCCAAAGGTCAAAGTGCAATAAGCCTCACTCATATATATTGTCCAGCCAAGGCTGGCCTATTCTGTGAGGGGGCAGAGGCAGCTTTAGAGACCATTCAATAGCTCAACACCTGCAAAGAGCCTCTGTCATCCCACCCCCACGGAGACTTCTGACTCCACTCACCCTGGGCATCCAGACAGAATTTCAGAATTGAAAAAGGCTTAGAAATCCCTTTAGGGAAACTGAGGCCCAGAGAATGGAAGTCATTTGTTCAAGGTTGCAGATCCAGTCAGTCAGTATCTGATCTGGGTCTCAGAACTCAGGGCTTTTCCCTCTGGATAAGAACGCTTTGCTTTCCTATCCCTACCCCAGACTCTAGAACTGCCTTCACCCACCTCCCAATGCCCAGGGCTCCAGACTTCATTCCATATTCCAAGGGATCCCCACCACGGTCTCCGGTTAAACTGGGTTTCCTGTTACCAAAAAGAACAGCTCTCTCTGACACACATCCCCCTTTCCTCCCCAATGTCCTTTCCACCCGGCCCCGGGTCTCTGACCCCGGCCGTTACCGCCCTCTAAGGGCACTCCGCACACCCTTCACAAACAGGTGCAAAGGTGCGGCGGCCAGAAGCACACCTCTGGAGACAAGTCTGCTGATGCCCCCCGCTCCACACGCCGACACTCGTGCTGTGCCCCCCACGCCATCCCACCTCCGCGGTCACCTGTGCTATGCCTCCCCCCCTCCCCCTTACATCCTTCCAGGTGCACCCATGCCCCTCACTTCCACTCGGACATGCGTGGTGCACACAGACCCACGCGCCCCCTCCTCTCCCAGGAGACACATATATTCCACCACCAACCCCCCTCAGCACGGAGACGCAAGCTGCACTTCCCCCCCCAATCCCCCCATGCGCGCCCCCTCACGGGCACGCGTGCGGCAGCCTAGCCCCTCACCTCCGCGCGGACACGCGTGCTGTGCCGGCCTCCCGTTGCTATATGGCATCCAGATCTTCTTCAGGGGGTTCTGGGTGAGCTCCCGGGGGGAGGCCATGGGGATGGGCCGCAGTGCTGGCGGGCGCTGCGCAGCCGGCAACAGCTAGCGGGCAGGCTGGCCTGTGGGCTGAGGGCCACCTCCTCCTCCGCCGGCCGGAGACGGAGCCTCCCCCAAGGGCGGGGCGCCGAGGCTCCGCCTCCGCAGCCTGGGGACCAAGTCTCCGCCCAGCCCCGTGGCTCCGCCTCCCCCCGCGTGTGGGGGACCCTCCTTCGGCCTCGCCCCGTCAGTCTGCGGCCGCGGGGAGCGTGGGCTGGGAGAGAGGGGGAGAAGATCCAACCGGGTGATCCCGGATCCCTCGGCTACTGGTACGCGGCTGAGCAAGCAACTGAGTTAACTTCAGAGACGCCGCTCCGTCCGCAAGACCTCCCAGGCATCGGGGCCAGCCATAGAGATATTGCGCCTCCCTCCTTCTTTGCCCTTGCAGGATGAGGCAGCAACTCCCACCCTCTGTCTCGGCTTATACGTGTGTCTCATTCCCATTCTCTTGATACAAGGCTCTCCTCCCCCAACACACAAACCCTTCACATCTTCCAGCCCCAGGCCAACCCCTACCCTTGAGTCCTTCTCAGATGTTCCCCGAGGAATCTCTGAGATCTCTGAGGTCTCCAAGGGAGACCAGCACCGTGAATCTGGACAAGATCGTTTCCCACTCAATTTCTCAAGCTGAAAATGCGGGAGGGGGTGGTTAAGAAGGTCTCTAATGCCTCTCGGGGGTGCTGGAGGAGGGTATGTGTGTGTAGAGGCGGTCAGGAACCCTTGGATCACTACTGAAGATAACTCCTCTTGCAAAAGAATGATATTATGATATTGCAAAGAACTAAGAAACTAATTCGTGGGGTCCCAGTGATCTGGAATGCAATGGGTCTAGGCCTGAATACTTTAAGCTGCTCTAGACTCAGGAGTATGGAGGGAGAGAAAGGTGCCTGTAGGCCTTCAGGAGGAGAAAGAAAACAGAGCAAGGGAAAAGGCCATGGGGTGTGGTGGGTAGGGCCAGCCCAGACGCCAAGAGGAGCCTGGAGTTTGCCCTCTTGCCCAGGCACAGGCCCATGAAGTGCTGAGCTCTGTCTGCGTGAGCAGTTGATCATTGGAGTGGACTCCATGTGGGCTAATTCATGGTTCCTATCTCGATCTATCTTCATAGGTCAAGGGACACTGCTGGATACCCCTCTGAGGCCCTTCAGCACCATCTTACCCCATCCCCACCCTCAGGCTTAGACTGAAGCTCAACCCAAACTCCAAAATCCATCCTCTTTCCCAGGTCATCTTTGTCTCATCACTGAAACAGGTGCTGAAGTATCTTCCTGGATACGAAATTCGGGTCAGAGAACCTGAGTCTGAATCTGGGTTCTGCCACTTACTACCTGTGTGATCCTGAGTAAGTCAATTAGCCTCTGGGCCCAGCTTCCTGATTTGTAAAATTAGGACATTGGACTACATGATCAGTTCTAACTCTATGAACACATGACAGCGTTATATTTATACCTATCCCTACTCAGCTGATGACAGTACTCTGCCCCCAAATTTCTTCCCATCCTCTACATATTTATGGTGCCCCTTCATGAAGTGACTTCCACAAACATCCTACTGTGTTTCTCACCTATGTATAGTTCCATAGGTTCCCAAAGTGGGCAATACCACCCCCTGGGGAAAGATGGACCAACCCAGTGGGGAGGTAGTAGCCTCCAGTGATGCAAATTTTAAAAAAACAAACCATTAAAGGGTTAAAGAAAGTAGATTTCTAGGGGGGTGTTGAGTAATTTTTTTTAATGGGGCAGTAGGCCAAATAAGTTTGGGAACCTCTGTATATAAACAAATACCCTACAAATCTGTATTTTACGTAGAGCCGTAGATTATTGGGTCACATCTCTGATTGGATCTATTGCCCCGTAGGACATCATGTGTGTGCGTGTCTAACCAGGGCAAGGTCAATGCCTGTCCCAAGACCCTCTTCAGAGATTCCAAGAATCTACCCTGAGACACACAGTCCATGCCTTCCCACTCCACTCCCACCATAGTCTGAGTGTATACTTATAGGAACTGCCATATATGAATCACTTCCTTAAACATGGGGCCATAATCAGAGTCACAGGGCCCAGGCTACCTCCAGAAGGCTAGGATAGAAGGCAGTTGAAGCAGCAGATACTTCTCTACATTGGAGCTGTCAAATCCCTTTCCATCACATTCTTCTTAGAGGCCAGAGACTTTCTACTCACACCATAGAAGGAAAGACCAGGGTGCATTGATATAATGCTTTGGGGTTTGCAAATATTTCATCTTATCTTCACAACCCTGGAAGATAGGTGCTATTATCTCTATTTTACAGAAGAGGAAACTGAGGTAGACAGAGGTTAATTAACTTAACCTAGGGTCGCACAGTGTCTGAGGCTGGATTTGAACTCAGGTCTTTTCTAACTCCAGATCCAGTGCTCTATCTACTGCTCCATTTAGCTACCAAAAACCACACATAAGGATACAGTTCTAATTCCAGCTTCTTCCCTACCCATTCTTTTCTGCTTCTATTTTCCCTTCCATGTAAAGTCTCTAAAGATGTGAAATTTTCCTTTTCTGAGAAAGTAAGCACCTTGACTGAGTCCCCTAATTTACACTTGGCTTCCTTAAGAGATATTCAGGGCTAAGGTCTTTGCCTGACCCTCCTCCCTCCTAGATACTGTACAGCCTGCAAACTTGCCTTACTCCCAGGTACCCTGTGTACCATGGAAAGATTTCAGGAGAATCTGTGAACTTGAATTGGAAAAAAAAATACATCTTTATTTTCACTAACCTCTCTCTGAAATTTTGCATTTCCATAACTTACGAACTGTAAAAAATACACTCTTAGAAGAGGTCCGTAAGCTTCACCAGACTGCCAAAGGGGTTCAAGACACAGAAGAAGGTCACAAACCCCAGCTGTGCACCAGTGACCACCAAGCCTCTATTTCTGCATTACTGAGGGATGAGATCCAGGGGTATTAAAAACGAGGAACAACTGAGAGGCTATTCCTGACATGAGTCTATGCACACTCCAGCTATAGCCTGGGTACTGAGCAATGGGTGTTCTGGCTGCTTTCAGCTACTCTGACGATGCTGCCGGCTCTGGGCTCAAGGGTAGAAAGAAGCCTGATAAACCCACCCTATCTTCATGGCTCAGAGAGGGAAAAGTCAAAGCTCATTAGGTAAAGGAGGGTGGCTCAGGGGCTGTTGGCAGTGAACCGTCAAGCCTTGACAGGATCATCAGGAAGTTTCAGCTTGCCCTTGCCTAAGAAACAAGCAGAGGAATGGACACACAAGCACAAATGCAAAAGCAAACATCCATACATGGATGCTCAGGCAGACCTCCTTCCCACCCCCAGCATGGCCTTTCCCCTGGGACCCAGGCTGTGGGAGCCTGGGGCAGATTCTCCCTGGGATCACTGATAGACACTTTCCCAAGAGCCTTCAACCTTCCTGCTTCCAGGAAGATGAAGTGGAGGAGGCTGGGGAGTTAACCCTTGTAGTGCTAAGAACTGATGAGGGACCCTCCTCCTTGTAGAGTCCATGGCTGAGGTAAGGGGATGAACCTGGCTCAGAGCAATTCAAGCCTAAATAATTGCTGCTCCCACAACCAGTTCTTCTGAACACCCCTCCCCCAGCAGATCAAAGCAGATCCCTTGATCCCAAAGACACAAAGTCCTACAGCAATTACAATCAGCTCTCAGTTCTCTCCACAAATAGTAGGCAGATATAACTAACCCAGAATGTTCCATTTGACTCAGAACTTCAACATAGAGTTGAATTTAGGGGAGCAATGAATTTTTCTTCATTTCTATCATTGGGTCATTCCTCAGCTCCAGAGCCTTTGATGATTTTCCACTGTTAGTGGAATCAATTTCAAGTACCTCAGTCTACCATTCAAGGCCCTCTACCAACTGGTCTCAACATACTTCTCATTTCTCTATTTTCTTCACCCTTTTCCTTTTACATCTTGAATGATTTATTGATACTTTTTTAAAAAATGGTAGTCACTTCCCAATGGTAGTAACTTCCATATCCCTCCTCCCGTTCTCCCTTGTAATAGAAGACAGTTAAGCAAAACCAAACACACTTGGGGGACAATGGCCTGTTCCATACCTGTAGTTTACCACCTCTGTGCCAAAGCGAGAGAGGTATGCTCAACATCAGCCCTCTGAAATCTAGTTTGGTCACCACATTAATTAGAGTCCTAAGTTTTTTTTCTGTGTTGCTTTTTATTTATATAATTGTCTCACTGCGTCCCCCCCCCACTACCACAGAAGCTACAGTCATTCCTGCTCCCCAGCTAGTCTCATTCCAGTACCACCAACACCCCATCCAAACCTAGCTATCCTTTAAGGTCCAACTTATTTCACCTTCTCCAAGAAGCTTTCCCTAACCTCTACAGCTCATATGGATTTTTCTCTCCTCTGAACTGTGCAGGAAGGGAGGGGGGGATGGAGAAAGAATAGTAGGGATAGTCTATTTTTGAGGTGATGGGGGAAAAAACTACCTGCATGTGACAGTTCTTTATATCCTTCCCTGCCCCATCCCCCTTGGGTAAGAAAGGAGGCACCTAGTGGGTGAAATGATTATGCAGTAACTACTGATTGGCCAAGAGAGAGCATGGAATTACAGAATGGGCCAATGAATACTACCCAGAGTACAGCATGTGGACAAATCCTAGATTGGAACAGAAGTGTCTGAGGTGTCTTCATGCCTTTCTAGGGCTTCCAGGGAAGCCTAGGCTCTGGTATCTGGGATCTTGGGCCAGTTTCCTCCTAGAGAACCTTAAAGATCAGGCTAGAAGGCTTAGGCACTACTATCTAGACTGGTTTGCCATTGTTAGTTCTTTTACTCATTCTAATTTTCTTCCTTTTATGAATCCTTTCTAAATCTGCTAATTCTCTTTAACCTTGTGAATTGACCCTAGAAAACAATCAGGTATGTGGTGTGCATGGTGGGGAGACAGAAAGGAGAAGGGAGAGGGAGTGGGAAGTCAAACTAGGGCACAGAATTACCTTGGGGAAGTGGAAGGGTAATTAAGGCTGGAGGCTTAA